CGGCTCTGGCCCTGGGGGGCGCTGTGGGGCTGTACTACACCGCGCGGTGGCACCTGCGCGCCCAGGATCTCCGCGCCCAGCCCTCCGCCGCGCAGGTAGGCCGGGCTGCGCCCCGCTCAACTTCGGTAGCGGCCGGGTCAGGAGCGCCTCCACTGTCCGCTCGTGACCTTGGGCCAGTGACTTGGTTTTGTCTCCAAGTCCTCAGCGTCCTCATCTGTGAAATGGGGCCGCGGCTGCTGCCTGCTAACTGGAATTGTCTTTGTCTTAAAGTTGTGTTTCTAACTTGTTTAAAGACTTTATAATGGGGAGATTTTGAGATCACAGAAAAGAGAAAGAGCCTCTTTCAGTTTATCCCATTCCCAACATTTTGTTGGCCCCCATCGTCTTCAAATCCTAAGGTGGTGTATTTATTTACTGACTAGAGGCCCAGTGCACAGAATTTGTGCACTGGTAGGGTCCTTAGGCCTGGCGGGTGATCAGGGCCAATCTGTGGGGTGACCGGCAGGGTGATTGGCAGGGCAATCAGGGGTCCCCTGCTGGCACCCTCCTTGGCTGGCTGGGGGCCTGTGGGCTGGGGGTAGCTCCTGCATTGAGCGGCTACCCCCTGGTGGTCAGGGTGCGTCATAGCAACCGGTCATTCCACTAGTTGTTCCTTAGTTGGGTCGATTTGCATGTTACGCTTTTATTATATAGGATATTTTTTTAAAATATATTGATTTTTTTTTTTTTACAGAGAGGAAGGAAGAGGGATAGAGAGTTAGAAACATCGATGAGAGAGAAACATCGATCAGCTGCCTCCTGCACATCCCCACTGGGGATGTGCCTGCAACTAAGGTACATGCCCTTGACCAGATCGAACCTGGGACCCTTGAGTCTGCAGGCCAACGCTCCATCCAGTGAGCCAAACCGGTCAGGGCGTATAGGATATTATTATTAGCATTTTTTATGGAACCGATGACCCTTAGATTCCAGGTCCCAAGACAGGAAGGGACGTGGTCGTGTTTCCCCCAGCCAGGTGGTGGCCCAGCTGCCCGTGCCATCCTTTGTACATTGCACCAGCACAGCCTTTCTCTGGGGTGCCCCCCTCCCCCCGTCCCCATCCACCCACATATTCCTGCACCCAGGGTGTCGGGGGCGTGGGAGGGGTGTAGAGTTCTCTGCATCTCCCTGCTCACTTCCACGGGTCCAGCCTCAGTTTCCCACCTGAGCATTGAGGGCCGTGGACTGCAGCTGTGACTTTCAAACAAGAATTTGCAGCGAGCTCACATGGTGCTTTCCTGCAGAACGTGCAGGACCCAGATCCTGGCCCAAGGCCCCGATACAATCCTTCCCCTTGGAGACTGGAGGTAGACCCCACTCTGGCCACGCTGGGGAAGGGATGGGGGCCACTGGATTGAGGCTGAGCCTCCAGTGTTCATTCCTCCCTGCCGCCCCCCTATTCCTCCCCATTTTCTCAGGGTCATCTTAGAAGGCTCCTCTGGGAAACAAGTTTGCTTGGGGCAGGGCCTGGGTTTGGGGGCAGGGCCTGGGAAACAGGCCTCAGAAGCCCCTGTCCTTCTGCCCCCTCCCCATCCAGCTCTCCCTGTCCGACCGCCTGCAGCTGACTCTGTACCAGTACAAAACGTGTCCCTTCTGCAGCAAGGTCCGCGCCTTCCTCGACTTCCACGCCCTGCCCTACCAGGTGGTGGAGGTGAACCCTGTGCGGAGGGCGGAGATCAAGTTCTCCACCTACAGGAAGGTGCCCATCCTGCTGGCCCAGGAAGGAGAGAGCCTGGTGAGCTTCGGGGCCCCCACCATGTCCTGGGGGGTCCTGGGGTCCTCCCCGAGTCAGCCCTGGAAGGAACGCGGGCTCTTGGCCTCAGCTGAGGACAATGAAGGGAAAGTAGCTGGTATACAGTAGGTGCTCAGTAAATGTAGGCTGCCATCCTTCCCCACCAACACCAGACACCAGCCTGGTCTACGGGATCAGAGCACCACAGAGCTTAGCAGTGTGGGTTCTGAAATCAGCGAGGCCTGGGTTCACAATGTGGCTCTGCCCCTCCCCGGCTGTGTGACTTGGGGCCAGTCACTTAGCCTCTCTGGGCTTCTTCCTCAGTCAACAGAGGACCATTCTCCAGGTTGTAGGGAATGCCTGGCTCCTCGTGTGTAGCTTCTGGCATCCACCCTGCTCCTCATGCCCTGGAGGCCAGGTAGGTGGAGCAGGCAGGGCCTAGACCAGGGGTCCTCAAACGATGGCCCGTGGGCCACATGCAAATACAAAGATTGTATTTGTTCCCATTTTGGTTTTTTTACTTCAAAATAAGATATGTGCAGTGTGCATAGGAATTTGTTCATAGTTTTTTTTTAAACTATAGTCCGGCCCTCCAATGGTCTGAGGGACAGTGAACTGGCCCCCTGTTTAAAAAGTTGGAGGACCCCTGGACTAGACCCTGGGTCCTCCCCACACCCTCCTCCCCATTACCACACGTGGGTCTCCCTTCTGATCAGCTGCCCTGAGAGGGGGGCTGTATCCCGGGGGTGGGCAGAGCTCAGTGGACATGGGTTATAGGGGTCACCCCCCAGGAGCGGACCAATAGTACCCTGGTCCCCCCGGCCCGTTTCTGAGGAATGCCTGGGCACGGTGTTGCTTAGAGCTCTCCACCCCCCAGCCCCCCTCCACCCCTATCCCCATCTAAATCACCCTCTTCTCCTCCAGCAACAACTGAACGACTCCTCTGTCATCATCAGCGCCCTCAAGTCCTACCTGGTGTCGGGGTAAGGAGCTCCTTGGACGCTGCCCCCAGGGAGGCCTCCCTGAGCCCTGCGTGGGGAGGGGGCGCTGCTGCTGGCATTTCCAGAACGGGTCACGGCGTCCCACTCAGAGCCTCCCCGTCCTCGCCTTCGCACATCTCCCCCCGTCGGGGACGTGCTCCGATGTCTGTCTCTATAAGGACCCGCTGCAATTCTATGGGTCGGTTCCGGCTTCACCTGGGGCTGGGTCAGGCCGGATGGATATTCACCCCAAGGAGGCGAGGGCGGGTCTCCTGGAGGAGGAAGGAGTTGGGTGAGACTCTGGATGTCTCCTGAAGGCAGCCCCTGGATGTCATCATCACCTACTATCCACCCATGAAGGCCACCAATGACCAGGGCAAGGAGGTGACCGAGTTCTGCAACAAGTACTGGCTCATGCTAGACGAGAAGGAGGCCCAGCGCATGTATGGCGGGAAGGAAGCGAGGATGTGAGTGGGGCTGGGGCTGCGTGGGGAGGTGGCACGGTGGTGGTGGGGGGGGGTCTTCCCCAGAGGG